AACCCATCAGGATGAGCCGCAGACAAGCAGATCGCTACGACGACGACGACGACGATGATGTCGATTTCAACTTGGGCGGAGCGCGCCCGCGCCGCCCCCGCCTCCACCCGCAAATGGATTCTCGCACACGAGGAGACGTCGTACTCTGGGCGCGGAAGCGCCAAGAACCCCAGTGCGAAGGAAGATGGGTAAGTGCTTTTATTATTCTGTTTGTGTGATGTCACCATGGCTTGCAAGTGGCGTGGGATCAGGGCACTTCGACGTTCGTTGTGCTGTGTTGGTAAACCAGGAGAGCAATCCGGACGGCGTTTCTCGGGGAGTGGCTTGGTCGCTCAACTACGGTTGAGAGTTTCCATCACGATTGAAGATGATGCGCGCCACGGTCCGCTCGGTTGCAATGGAGGCGTCGATGGGGTCAACACAGAAAGAGCATTGGCGTACCACGGCACTGTGGGGCGTTTGGAACAGCACCGCCAAGTCTGAACGGTGCTCAACGAGGGTTCAGAGACGAAATGTCGAAAGAGACATGGGGCAGACCAAACGCCCTAGAAAGAGACAGGAAACGGTCCACAACACAAGGCATGGAAGCTACCTTTTTATCAAAACCAAACCCGCACGCTACCCAACTTGGTCGCAGCGGTGGCAATGGTCGAAGCACGACTCTGCATCTCATAGCCCACTTGCGGATGAGCATGTCCCGTCCAGGGCATTTATTTTCAGCTCTCTGCTTGCTGTAGCAAGATTGGCAGCGGATAGCGCTCGAGGCTAGAACCTAGCAAGACCAGACGGTAGCAAGAGACACCGAAAAGAAATCCCGACAAAGTTGATCTGGCTTTCCACGCTGCACATTTCTCCCCGGTGAGAGTATATGTAGCGGGCCTTCTGGAACCTTTGTCAGCGCCATTTGGGTTTTGGATGGGTCAAGAAGCAAGCAGGCGTCGCCATTTTCTCGACTCCTAATGGCCGGCATTGGTAAAGCAAAAATCGTCAACCTCTTTGCCGCTGCGACGTATACAACCCACGCTATCGGATGGTGATTTAGACAACGGAAAGCTGCATGGCAGGAATACGCTGTACCAAAACCGTGCTGCTCGCGACACGTAAGCTTGGGAAAGGCCCTAGGTCCGACTTCTCAGAGCAGCGACGAGAAACAACAACGCCAAGATGCGACGGGATCTTCAATACGAGCGTGGACAGGGTGGCCTCCCATCAACCTACAGATTGAGAGTGCTCACTAGTATGGCCCGCGAACTAGTCAATGGACCTATGCTCTGCAATAGCTCGGGCTATTGCATTGGCTTGCGGCTTTTGACTGGTGTGCCATGCATTGCAACCCACCCTTGGCTCGCTTCAATCGTGCCAGGTTCTGCCATGACCTTTTCTCTGCCAGGAGTTCCCGCGGCAGACAAGTGCATGCTATTGTCTTGACTGATCTTTTGTCGTTGGGCTGTTGCGTTGACACTTTTGCGCTCTACTCGAGTACATTTACAATTGTTAGAAGTAGCGAGACTAACGAATGGACTGCATAGTAAGATGTTCATTGGTGGACTGAACTGGGAGACGACCGACCGTAAGCTTGAGCCTGCTCACCCACGCGCACGCTGTACCCAAGTTGCTAATCATGTCGCCGCAGAGTCTCTCAGGGACTACTTTGCCCAATTCGGCGAGGTTGTCGAGTGCACCGTGATGCGCGATAGCACCACCGGCCGGTCGCGAGGCTTTGGCTTCCTGACGTTCAAGGATGCCAAGACTGTCAATATCGTCATGGTCAAGGAGCATTTCCTCGACGGCAAGATTGTACGTTTCTGCCACGACAACACGCAAAAGCGGACGTCCACTCACAGCTACTACACTCACTAGATGATCCGAAGCGCGCATCCCCGCGACGACAGAGAAGACGAGCAGATCTTCGTCGGCGGCGTCAGCAAGAGACGACTGATCAGATTCAGATTACTGCTCAGTTTGGCCGCGTTGTCTGATGCCACCCTCATGATGGACAAGGACACGGGCCGGCCAAGGGGCTTCGGCTTTGTCACGTTTGAGAGCGAGGAGGGCGTCGACGCCTGCCTCAAGACGCACCTGGAGATCCACGGAAAGCCGATCGAGGTCAAGAAGGCCCAGCCACGCGGCAACCTCCGCGAGGAGGAGGAAGCTGCTCGTCGCGGAGGTGGAAAGTTCCGCAAGGGCGGAGACGACGGCGGCACCAACGGCCAGGGCGGGATGAACAACCAGATGGGCGGCGCCGGCGGCATGACGCCCCAGGGCATGGCACAGCACTTTCAGCGCATGCAGCAGTACTTCGCCATGATGCAGCAGCAGATGGCCATGCAGCGCGGCATGCCGATGAACCCGGCCATGATGCAGCAGATGATGCAGATGCAACAGATGCAACAGATGCAGAACCAGATGATGGGCGGGCGTGGCGGCGGCGGTCCCAATGGGCAGAACCCTCAAGCCATGATGAATAACATGAACCCGGCCATGATGCAGCAGATGCAGCAGATGCAACAGCAGCAGCAGCAGATGATGGGTGGCGGTGGCGGCGGCGGCAGCGATGGCGGCCAGGGCAGCCCGGCGCCGGAACAGCAAGCTCAAGGCGGCGGCGATGGGTTCAATAACAACAATAACAACAACAACTTCAACAACCCGCAGCAGCAAATGTTCAACCAGCAGCAGCAGCAGGGGCCGAGGGGCGGAGGCCAGAAGGCATACGGAGGCTTCGGCATGGGCGGCGGACCGGGAGGGCCGACGTCGTGGGAGGGCATGTATGACGACGTTCCGCAACCCAATATTCCGCAGGGACCGTCAGGCGGCCGCGGTGGAGGCTTCCACCGGGGCGGACGCGGCGGGTTCCAGCATCAGCAGCAGCCTGTCGATCCCAACCACGCGCCGCCGGCGAATGCGCCGACTGGTCCTAAGAACGCAGGCAGGCCGGGCGCCAACTACCGCGGCGGTGGACGAGGCAACAACCGCGGCTTCCATCCGTACTCGCGTGGCTAGGTGCGATACTGAGTGCGGGCGTGGCCGGGGACCCGATCAGCAGGGACAGGTACGGGGACGGGGGTTTTCAAGCTGCTTAGGGCAGCGGTGTACAACATTGCGAGAGAGGACCACAGGAAACGTTCCCACAACTCGGTGACTGAGCGGTGGAGAGGGCACTCTAAAAGGGAACATGGAAATCTGCCAACACGCAGGTGTGGAGGCAGCAGCTGGTACACCAGGCGCTTGTAATTGAACAGAGAAACCAACAAAACATTTGGCGCCAGACATTCGTGTGCATTCCTCTCTGTCGACTATGAATGAACGGGAAACAGCTTAAGAAAAGAGGAAGAAAATGAGATGTATTCGTCTTGGTGTACTGTTTTACATCTATCGTGTCCGACCCTGCCTGGTCCCCGTCCTGGGGCCTTTTTCTATGCAATCCTCGCCCCCCTTTCCTTTGGTGCAATAAAAAGTACTCTACACAGTAACGTGGTACAAGATACAAAGTTGAACCTCACCTTTCGCACGATCAACACCATGTCCGGCGCCTAGAGATGCCACTCGGGAAGCGCAAAGTTGCTGGTCGTGGGCCAGTTGTCAACCCTACAAGACGTCCTCGTTAGCATGGGCTCTCTCCTGTTTCCCGGCGCCGGCTGCCCCCCCGGCGGGCGCACACCGCTACTCACCTCGTCGTCAGCAGGACCGTCATGCGCCTCCGCCTGTCGGCGGGGTCCTCGTCGGCCGTCAGACGCAGCCAGTCGCCCAGGCGCTGGCGCAGCTCGCCGTCGCCCTTGCCGAGGACGTCGACGCCGCGCTCGGCGCAGGCGATGCGGACCTCCTCGGGCTCGAGGGCGGCGAGGCCGCCGTCGCGGCGCAGCAAGCGGTCGTCGCCGTCGAGAAAGACCATGCGCAGGTTGCCCTTGACCTGTCAGAGGCCGGGCGGGGACGAAGCCGAGCGTGTCCCACATGGGCGCCGACCATGTGCAGGCTGCGCAGTTTGATGAAACCGGACCACAAAGCCACTCTGCCTCTACTGCACCACGGCTGCGAACACGAGGAACCCGAAGATCCGAACTACCATGTACCATTACAATTCCTTGCGAGCCACGGACCGCCGGAGGTAGGAGCCTGATAAGAAAGGACTGCTGTGGGTTCCTACAAATGCTGCTACCGATGCCAACAGCCAGCCCTCTGACCGATGGCACGGTGGCGCATGAAATCTTGGTCCAATATCGACCATC